AACAACAAATTCGAAATAGCACTGTTTTTGAAGCCATTAAAATAGAGAAAGTCACATCGTTTCAATATCTAGGGGATGTTCTTGATTGTACTTGGACAGCTGAAGCTGCCGTTCGAGCACGCATACGTGCAGCCTGGAATAAATGGCATCTCCTTGCCTCTATATTGATGCGGCGTGACATCCCACTACCATTACGATCAAGACTTTATAAATCTGTGATACGTCCGGTGTTGTTATATGGTGCAGAAACATGGCCAATGACAACCAAACTGGAACAACAACTTCAACGAACCGACATGAAAATGTTCCGATGGATGCAACGAATTAGACTGAAGGACCACATCAAATCTACCGAAATCATGCGTCGTGCTGATTTAGATGATATAAAGGACGAATGCCAGCAACACCGTCTGCGGTGGTTTGGTCATGTCAAACGAAGTAGAAACAGTGCCATAACTTCTCTTGCAGATGTTGAAGTACCTGGCACACGTCCCAAAGAAGTTGTAGTCGCAAACAATCGAGCAAGACACGAAAGCTCTAAATTTAAATGAAATGGATACAACTGATCGTCTAATTTGGCGCAAAATGTTGATGGCAAAGAAAACAACGTCCTACCTCGGGAAACTAGGTCTCTGGTCGCAAAACGAAGATTGATTGATTGATTGATAAGCAGCTCTGCGTTTGAAAGAGTTGCATTGTTAAGAATGAAAGATATATGATTCCAATTTTACAATCAGTTTTATAACGTTGAATACTTTTTTAATGGTATGTCAGCAGTTGAAATAATAATTACAGATAATTAAAATACTGGTTTGTTGTAACGCTCCTTCAACTCCTGTTTCCACTCCATTTCATATTTCATTGGTTTTTAATTAGTCAAGATAATGTATAGGCTAGCTTTTTTTGTTTTTAAGGTTATATTTAATGAAACTTTCAAAGAGCATTATTCACTGTTATTTAAAACTAAAGCCAAGTTTAAGCAACCTCGTAATATTTTCAACTTGTTTTTTCTAAGTTTAAAAGCAAACTATAAATAATATTTTGGTTGACCGTTCTACTGTTCAACAAAATCTATTATCTAATGTTCAAGATTGGTTAAATAACGTAATCATTGAGGGCATTGTCATTTACAGTATATTTAAATGAATTTTTTTAAACATGTTTATGCCGATGTTCAATGATGTGATATAGTCAATGGCTATTAGCCATATCTCCCAATTATTTTTTAGGTGTTTGGTTAATTTTTTCTATTCGAAACTCATGAATTTTAAATGATGAATATGGTTAATCATTTTGAAAATTGTTCTGAAAGTGATGACATTTCAAACTTATGTAGCCGTACAGTTGAATTCTTATTTCATTAAAACATTTGTTTCTGTCTCTATCAAACTGGCGTGTTTTCGAGCTGTTAACAGCTGATATTTACAACTACATTTGTTTTATTTATTTTAGGAACTTGCCATGAAAATTAACGAAAACACTCAAAGTCTCTACGGTTTGGTTGGTTCCCCAAATACCTATGAAGTAGGAAGACTCTTCTACCTTGCCATACCACCTTCAGCTTACGCCGAAACAGCCGAGAGAATCCACAAATATCTGCTGCCTGAACATGGAAGAGGTTGGGTGAAAATAGTTGTTGAGAAGCCGTTCGGGCGAGATTTAAACAGCGCTAAGCTTTTAAACAGCGGTCTTCTGAAGCGATTTGATGAGTCTCAAATATATAGAGTAGATCATTATCTTGGAAAGACCGTGGTCAAGATGATTCTACCATTTAGGTACCTTCGATAATTTATTTTATGTTATATCATCAGTGTTCAATGCTTTTCATTTGTTTGCGGTTGTCAATTCTTGTTAAATTTACATTTTAACCTTGCAAACCAACTAATTCTGTTTATAGTTTTATAATTTACTTGAACTATTAAAAAATATCTTAGAATTTTGTTTCAAAGCATTAATGATTTTTTTGCTTACGATTAAAATTTACAGGGTAATAAATTCCAATTCTTACTCTCAGCTATGGAATGCAGATTATATTGATAGGGTTGAAATAGTTATGAAGGAGGAACTTGATGTTGTTGGTCGGTTTTTGCATTATTTTTATTGAACCTTCAATGTTTTTTAAATACATATTTTTTGTCATTATTCTTATATAATATACACAAAGGCAGAACACAGTTTTATAATGAAAACGGTGTGGTTCGCGATGTAATGCAGAATCACCTCACTGAGCTCTTCATGTTGACAGCCATGCAGTTACCTTCCTCTGGGGGTGTCAACATTAGCGAGATACACGAACTGAAATATGATCTATTGAAGAAGGTTTAATCATGAAACTTGTAATTTATTTTCCATAAAAATAATCTTTGAAGTTTTTTAAATGTGTGCAACATATTAATAATAATTTTTTATCATAACCCGCTTGTTTGCAGGTTAAACTTCCCAAAATGGATAAAATTTTATTGGGTCAATATTCAACATATAACGTTGAATGGTTGGCAGAAAACAAAGAAACAAACAAGATTACAGATACACCTACGTTTGCAGCCACAACATTTTATGTTGATTCAGAAATGTGGAGAGGCGTACCTTTTCTTTTCATGAGTGGCAAAAAGTTGAACGAGAAAACTAGTTATGTCAGAATAGTTTTGAAAAATCGAAAATTTTGCCTCAACCACAATGCTGAATTTTGCAAAGATGACAAACAAATTGTTTTTTATATTGGTGGGAAATTTGGAGAGTTTATTGCCGGTAATTATTTTTCGAATCACTAAGCTCTTAAATTTTAAACCTTTTAAAATCTTTTCAGTCCATTACTGTTGTTATTAATTCAAAACTATTTAACTTGGACAGTGTCAAAGGACCTTCCGTTACCTAGTTTCAGATCCGGTTGGAAGAAAAAGACATCGACAGCGTTCAAAGATGTTTTTGGACAATCAACTGATGAAATGCATCTCTTTTTTCCAGTTGAGGAGGTTGAGTCATACACTGAGCTCATCAAAAGTATTATAAAGGGGGCTAGACATATGTTCGTTCCCTCTAGCATTCTTTATCAGTCTTGGCAAGTGTGGTCTTCGCTGCTAGAAGTTAGTGATAGCACAAGACCTAGAATATATATAGGAAAAGACAAAGACCCTGAGCGACTTGATTTTTATTTTGACACTTTAACTGACGGATTGAAATTTGTTATAAAAGAACCATCTCCAAACCAAACAACTTCTACCTGAATGATACGTACATTTAATTAGGCACTGCTAAACCAAATCATTTAATTTTTTATCTTATTTTCAAATTATATTTATATATACTTGGGTTCAGACTGTTGTATATACAGTTATTAATAAATATCACCGCATTTTCCGCATTGTTGAGTTTGTAGCTAAGTTTTTCAATTATTTGAACAATTATTTTATCAATACTATTCAATTTATTCAAATTAATAATAAAATTTCTAATTTTAGACTGCATTTTTCATATATACATTTACATAAAAGCTTTTTTCCCTAACCTTTACCAACATTTTTGGGCAATGTTTTGATGCCATAGTATTTTAAATTGGTCTATATATATGTGTGTGATTTTGAGTGTCTATGATGTAAGAGTGAGCGCGCAAATGTGCATGACGAGGTGTATGAATGAGCATGAATTTCTATATATAAATATGTATGTGCAAGAATATGCTATCATGTACATCTTTATTTATTGCTCATTTGGTAAACTTTGATAGATGCTGACATTTTTCAGCTTTCCTTTTCTTTTCCTTTCTCTTTACATTGCCAGTATATGAGTTTCACAGTTATTTTTTTCTATTTATGTGTATTCTATTTCAGTTAAGGCACTGCTACAAGTACATGTTTACTTATTTGTGCTTCTGAATAATAAAATAAAAAAATCATCTGTGTAATAGAGTTTGTGATATTGTTATATGTAGTTCATCTGGCATTTATAGTATTTTTAAGAAAGGAACTCTAAGGCTTTTTATTTTCTATTAATAAAGCCTCTGCCATTTTCAAATTTTTTATATTACGCTTGTAATATAACACTTTGGATTTTAAGTTTAATATTTCTTTTGTTATTTTTATGTGGCGTGAATCCATTAGATGATTTTTTATTGCACCATTTTATCTATGCATAGTTAACCTTCGAGACAAAGTCGTGGTAAATTGAATAATATTGATAAAGTAATTGTTCGAAAAATTGTAATAGTTACCAACTCAACAAAACAATGTGCGGAAAATGCGGTGTCTGTGTGTGTGTGTTGATAAAAATCACAGCATGTTCTGCGTTAGTTAACTTTCTATTTAACTTTTCGGATTTTCATTGTCGTAATAGTGTTATATTAATATTAAACAAATTTGAAGATTGTAAAAGTTACAAACTCAACAATGTGCGGAAAATGCGGTGATATTTCTTAATAACTGTATACATACATATATATATATATATATATATATATATATATATATATATATATATATATATATATATTTACAATTTACAATTTTAATATTTACGGGGAAATCAACAATTGATGCAATTCACATCCTTCGGCAACTGCAAGAGAAGTTCCTCGCAAAGCATCAACAACTATCACACATTTTTGTAGACCTTGAAAAAGCATTTGATCGAGTTCCCCGTGAAGCAATCAGGTGGAGTCTACGTCGACAACTCATTCCAGAATATCTTGTTCGACTTGTGATGGAAATGTATACGAATACTAAGACTCTTGTCAGCACAACGGTTGGAAACACAGATGCATTTGACATCGGCGTTGGAGTTCACCAAGGCTCGATTCTCAGTCCACTGTTATTTTTGGAATTATTTTTCGCACATTTGGAATCTAATATATGCTGATGATATCGTTTTAACAGCCACGTCTGAGCAGAATGCAGCACAGATGTTTGAAGATTGGAACACCAGACTGGCCGATCATGGATTCAAAGTCAACATCAGCAAAACCAAAGCAATGAACACTGGTGAACCCATCCAATCCACAGCTACTGGACGATGGCCCTGTTCAGTTTGTAAAGCTGGTGTAGGTAACAATTCAATCAAGTGTCAGCAGTGTAACCAGTGGTGTCACAAACGTTGTTCAAAAATAATTGGTACTTT